TAATATATATATATATATATATATATATGTATGTATGTATATGTATATATATATATGTATATGTGTATGTTGTGTGTGTGTGTGTATGTGTGTGTGTGTGTGTAATTATACTTATGACTTGCATGGCATAAACATAAAAAACTTGTTAGAAAATGTATATGTCAAATTAAATTTTATTTTAAATAAAAATTTTATATCATTGTTCAACCCATTTACATATTGTATTTATTTATAAGATTAGCTTATTTTACTACATGGTTAGTAATTAGTTATTAGTGAAAATTAATCCTGTTATATTTTACTATATAATATATGTAGGAATTTGAAAGCAAGCATTCACAATTAACAACTTTGGAAGAAAGACTACAAAAGGAAGAACTTGAGGCCCGAATTGAAGTATTGAATAATATTGAAAAAAATATTATGATGTAGGACCTACTTGCGATTGCGTTGTTTTCCACGATGGTTACATGTGGAGGTAATCAATTCCGAGTATGTGATATTCTTAAATATGCACATACCTATATATTTAATCTAAAGTCTAAAATCTAAAGTCATTTGCTTTATATTTGCTTGTTTAATTTGATGCTTATCTTTTCCATGCTAGAGCATGTATTGATACTTCTGAAGAAGGTAATTTAGAAACTGGTGTTTTTCTTGGTGAATATTCCATCACGAGAGATTTTGCTCGTCTTACTCAAGAAGACCAGTTAAATATTAGTGTTAATGTTCATGATAATGGAGATCTATTAGAAATTGTCAGCTTATGTTGTAAGTATAATCAAAAGTTCGAGTTATATAATTTTTGTAAAATTAAATGTCAACTTTCTTATTAAATTTTTCTAATTGAATTACATTAGCAAGTCATGGAACACATGTGGCATCAATCGCTGCTGCATATTTTCCTGATACTCCAGAAATGAATGGAGTAGCACCAGGGGCCCAAATTATTTCATTAACTGTCGGTGATGGACGTATTGGCACAATGGAAACTGGAACATCCGTAGTACGGGCAATGATTCATATAATGAAACGTAAAGAAAAGGTTCATGTCATAAATATGAGTTACGGCGAACATGCTCATTGGTCAAATACAGGTAGAATAGGAGAATTAATGAACGAAGTTATTGACGAATATGGTGTAACTTGGGTTGCATCCGCTGGTAATCTTGGACCAGCTTTGTGTACCATTGGTAAATATAATAAAATTTTATTATTAATTTATTATTAATTCCGTTTACACAAACTATTGCATTGTTTTTTAAGATTAATTACATTGTTTAAATATATTTTGCATTGCTATTACAAATGCGAAATGTACAAAAAGTTACTTTTTTAATGCATTGTGTATCTTAATATTTCTCTAATATGAGTGATAACTCAAATATTAAAACAAAAAAAATACAGGAACTCCTCCAGACATCAGTTCAAACAGTATTATTAGTGTTGGTGCTTATGTATCACCTGATATGATGGTAGCTGAATATTCTTTAAGAGAAAAGATGCCAGGCATGCCATATACTTGGTCCTCTCGTGGTCCAATGATAGATGGAGGTGCAGGTGTAACAGTATGTGCACCAGGAGGTGCCATTACTAGCGTTCCAAATTTTACACTTAGAAAAAGTCAACTTATGAATGGTACAAGCATGGCAAGTCCACATGTCACTGGGGCAGTCGGTACGTATTGATATTTCTGTCTAGAAGGCATATTTACATGTCAATATATTACATCAGATTTCTTCTAAATTTTAGCGGTTCTTATATCGGGTCTTCTCGCCAAGGGTTATTTATATTCTCCTTACAGTATTAAAAGAGCTCTTGAAAATACTGCTCTTTATATACCTAATTTAGATTCGTTTGCACAAGGTTCTGGCCTATTGCAAGTCGAACGTGCATTTGATGATCTCGTCTCATATTGCGATACTCCTGAAAGAGATGTACGTTTTGCCATTAATTGCGGTGTCAATAATTCTAAAGGCATTCATATGAGAACAGGTGTCATTGATCGTCCAAAGGACTATGCAATTACGGTCGAACCAGTATTCATAAATAGTGAAAATATAGGTAACATTATACACAACAATGTATTCTAATTATCCTTTTTATTTTATTATGATATTAAACACATATAAATGAAATTCTATGAATTCCTGGAATGCGAGCTATTACTTTACACCTGAGTCGGAGA